TGCCATCTCGGACGGCTGAACGGCTATAAACCGTGAAGGCCCCGGGCTAGATCCCATTACCCCCATCCCCACCACTGTCTTCTCCACTTCCTACGGGATGGTTCGTCCCTCTGCCCCAAGGAAAAGTCGCACAGCCTCCACAACTTAGCCAAAGAGCGGGGGCTCAGGATGCAGCTCACCTAGCCCACGCAAATCAAACATTACTTCAGCGAACCTCGTCGTGTGGTGCAAATGCCACAATTTACTGAGAGAACAGGGAAAACGGGCTCTAATGGGAGCAGATCCACTGGGAAGAGGAAGGGGTGGCTCCCCTACCTCCCAATCCACATTATAAGATCTGAGAAGCCGACGGTTTCCTCCTACACGCGGACCCTGAGAAATGACCTCGCCTTTTACAACAACAATGCTTCTTGAGTCTTGGGAATAAAATGTGAAGTGCCTTGAATGGGGTCGGGGGGAACCGTAGAGGGGCTTTGGGAACCATCCCCAACCCACAGCCTGCCTAACAGGGACCCACGTCACGGGGCAGGTGAGTCATGAAGCCACGTGCTCCCAACCAGGCCACAGACACGGGCTTTGGCTGCTCCTCTCTGAAGGCGCTGCCCCCACGTCGTTTCGAAAGCGGAGCTTAGCTCTGCCCCCTCCACACGGTGGGAACTGTTGGATCGCCCATACGCACTGCTCCATCCCCTCTGCAGTTTCCCCCCTGGGAGCCAGATCCTTCTCGATCCGGTTCAAAGCCCCCGGGAAGCCCACGAGACGACGCGTGGACATCTCCATGTAATTCAAGGCCTTCCTGAGTTTCACCGTGTGGAAGCAACCTGCCTTAGCTCTCTGCGCTGCACGGGGAGCAAACCTGCGGCCTTCATCCGGAAGCTGGAATCAAACGGCCTCCCCGTTCCAACCCCCAAAGGCCAGTTTCCAGCATCCCTCTGCCTTCTCAGTGCAGGAGGCACTCCAGACAGGCCCGTGGCGGTGGCGGCGGGGGGGCATTTGGGGGCAACGCCCCCCACAGATAAGCCCCACCACGGGAGTATACCAGGCCCCACCCTGGTGTGCCGCGCTCCTTACCCCTGCCCGTCATGGCCTCGCCAGCTCTTCCTGTTGCAGCCAAGCAGGAGGGGAGGGGAGGGGAGGGAAGGGGAGGCCTCACCAGGTCTCCCCTCCTGCTTGCCGGGCTCTCCTTCTCCCTCTTCCCGAAGGCTGAAGAGCCAAGTCAGGCCAGGAGTCCTCAGCCGAGCACGACTGTTGGGGTACGCGCAGCAAGAGCTGAGGAGAACGGCCCACCCCGGCCCCTCACTGCGCCCGTGCCAGCAGAGCTCCTTCTCCGCAGTGGGGCACCTGAGCGGGCCATTCTCCTCTTGGCTCTTGCCACGCGTCCCAGCAGCCATGCCTGGCCTCCGGGGCCCGAGAGTGCCGGGGCCAGGCAGGCTTCAACCACAGCACGCAAGGGAGGATTGTGGCAATGGCAGAGGCTCGGAAGAAAGGGGGGCGGAGCAAGATCTGACAGCCCCAGACAGGAGCTCCTCGTTTCTCTGCCTCTTCCCTCTCACCTCCCCGCTGCGTAATCCCCCAACGTGCCCCCCCAACCGAAATTTTTCTGGCTACGGCCCCAACTCCGGAGAAGCCTGAGAGGCACCGTCCGACCGTAGGAAGCGCCCGCTCAGAAGCGGTCGCCTCTGTGGTGACGGGACCCTTGGCTTGGAACCTCCCAAGTTTCTGTGGGGCCTGCCTCACGGGCAGCCATTTTAAGTCGGCGCCCACCGTCCTTCCTTGGCCCTCCTTCCCAAGGTGTCCGCAGGCCCAACGAGTGTGGGGACCAGTGATCCATCTAAGCTGAGTTAGGGTGAGCTAGCTCACAGTTTTTCAGCCTCCAGCGCACACATTTTTGTCTTAGCTCAGGAGAGGTGGCTCCAGAGCAAACTAATTTCTGCAGTAGCCAAATGGCTCGCTCACAACTTTAATGCCAGTCGCTCACAAAGTAGAAGTTTTGCTCACAAGACTCCACGGCTTAGAGGGAACATTGGTGGGGACCCCCAGAACAGAGGCCGAGTATCCCCCTTCCCCGTTCCGCTGGGCAAAGTCAAAGGGCCCAAGACTTGCCCCTTCACCCTTTCTCCCGAGCGTACAGTGTCCACGTCGCCCCGTCAGCCGGGTCCGCAGAGTATTACCTGGGAGAGGTGCTGCTCGGAAGCAAAGCCCAGCCCGTACACCGTGTTGGCGCGGCTGTCGGCCCACTGGCCGAATTTCTGAGAGGTTTTCGTGAAGGTCATGTTGGGGGTGATCGTGCTGTTGATGACGGCCTGCAAGGAGACAGGGTGGCGAAGGGTCAGGCCCGGAGGCGGGGACGGAAATCGGTTTCCGAGGCGGGCCTCCTCGCACGAAGCGGGTGCGGAGGAAAGCCGTCTCTTGGAGAGCCGCGCGACCGGTCCCCACGGTCTCAAAACGAGCAACGCGCGGGGGACCTCCTCGTCTCTCGGGTCTCACCTTCGTGCCTCCCACGCTGATGATACGGTAGACGTTGCGGGTGGCATCGTAGAAGTAGGAGACCGTCAACGCATGCTTGCTGGCCGGGATCCAGTTCCTCTTGGTGGATGGATCGATCTGGAAGATGTGGGCTCTGGTGCTGAAGATCGGCTGCTCCCTGGGGGGTGACGCAACAGAGAACGGATTCGGCAACTCCCGCAAGCTAAAAGCCACGTGGCTCTCTCTGCTCTACGAGGACAGGGCTTGGGGAGAGAACTGGGCCTCCCTGAAACTGCTGCAAAGGAAGCCGACCTGGGAGAAAACCTCCCGTGAAGTCTAGCGATGGGAAGCGCGGCTGGTGGGGAAAGGGGGGGGACAAACAGGAAAGGGAACTAGGGAGACAAGTCGGGAGGGAGGCTCTGGGAATGAGGCTGCGAAGGACGAACCAAAGACTGTTGGAAGGGACCAGTGTTCCCTCTAAGTTGACATACTGTGAGCTAGCTCACCGTTTTTTAGCCTCCAGCTCGCACATTTTTGCCTTAGCTCAGGAAGGATGGCTCCAGGGCAAACTAATTTATGCAGCAGCCCAATCGCTCGCTCACAACTTTAATGCCAGCTCACAAAGTGGAAATTTTGCTCACAGGACTCCACAGCTTAGAGGGAGCAGTAGAAGGGACCCTAGAGGCCACCCAGTCTAACCCCCACTCCATGCAGGGAATACAAAGCTAGACCATCCCCAGCAGATGGCTTGAAGACCCTCAGCCATGGAGATCCCGCCACCCTTCTGGGCAACTGGTTCCATGGCTGAACTGCTTTTACCTAGAGGAAGTCTCTTCTAATGTTCAACCTACTCCTAATTTACGGCCTCCCGGAAATTTCTCCTGATGTCCAACCAAAACCCATCCTTCTCGATGATCTCACAAACCGCTCGACAAACTCAAAGCAACTGTCAGCGACAGAAGAAGAAGAGGACGAAGAGGAAGAGATTGGATTTATACCCCGCCCTTCACTACCTGAACGAGCCTCAGAGTGGCTTACAAACTCCTTTCCCCTCCCCTCCCCAACCCCCCCCCACACACAAAAAGCGGAGGGGGGACCCCCTCTGGATATGGACATCTGATGCTTTACAGCTCTACTTCTTTGTCTGAAAGAGGGAGCACCAGACGACTGCGAACAGCTCAAACCTGATCACACACAAACACACATATACGAAACGCACAATTTAGTATTACGGTTCCAGCTGTTACCTAATCGTTGACATTGGTTAATAGTGATGAGGACAGGTGTGGTTAGAAGACAAAGGGTTAAACAGACATCAGCCGTCCCGGTTAGTGGTCCCCCGGAGCTGAAATCCTGCTCTGGCTGGGGTCTGGCGGGCGATTCATTTCCTAGCAATGAAAAATCGACGCTGTTAGTCACCACACACGACAGAGAACAGAGGAGGAAGAAGAAGAGGTGGAGGCCGAAGACACATCAATGTGATCAAGCTGGGCCCAGGCAAAGATTTTTTTTCTGAGATGTTAATGTGTAATGATTTTGGGCCACTGGGAAGGGGGGAGAAATCCATGGAGTTTCTCGCTGCTGGCTCGCCGCAGCCTATTAACACTCGGTCGGGTTTGTGTTTTGAAGCCCAAAATAGGGTCGAGGTCTGATTTCAGACTGAGGGTGCTCCGGCAGAGACACAACTTGGGCAGGGGTGCAAAAATGGAAATGGGTTGGAGGAGGAGGAGGAGGAGGAGAAGAAGAAGAGAAGGAGGAGATTGGATTTATACCCCACCCTTCACTACCCAAAGGAGCCTCAGAGCGGCTTACAAACTCCTTTCCCTTCCCCTCCCCACAACAGACACCCTGTGAGGTAAAAGAAGAAGAAGAGATTGGATTTATACCCCGCCCTTCACTACCCAAAGGAGCCTCAGAGCAGCTTACAAACTCCTTTCCCTTCCCCTCCCCACCACAGACACCCTGTGAGGAAAAAGAAGAAGAGATTGGATTTATCCCCCGCCCTTCACTACCCAAAGGAGCCTCAGAGCGGCATACAAACTCCTTTCCCTCCCCCTCCCCACAACAGACACCCTGTGAGGTAGGTGGGGCTGAGAGAGCTCTTGACAGAAACTGCTCTTTTTCAAGAACAGCTCTGACAGAACTATGGCTTGCCCAAGGTCATCCAGCAGCCACACGTGGAGGAGTGGGGAATCAAACCCGGTTCTCCCAGATTAGAGTCCGTGCACTTAACCACTACATCGAACTCCCTTAGGGCTGAAGGGGGTGCCACTGCTAACCAGGGTTGCCAGCCTCCAGGTGAGGCCTGGAGACCCCCCTGAATTACAGCTAATCTCCGAACGATAGAGATCAGTTCTTCTGGACAACACCGCTGCTTTGGAGGGTGGAATCTATGGCATTATACTCCGCGGAAGTAACCTCCCCTCCCCTCCCCAATCCCCTCCCTCCACGGGCACCACTCCCAAAATCTCCAGAAATTTCCCAATCTGGAGTTGGCACTGCCCTACTGCCTGTGGGGCAAACCTGCAGGGTCCAACTCACTGATTCCAGAGGAAGAGGATTTATACCCCGCCCTTCACTACCCGAAGGAGTCTCAGAGCGGCTTACGGTCTCCTTTCCCTTCCCCCTCCCCACAACAGACACCCTGTGAGGCAGGCGGGGCTGAGAGAGCTCTCCTGTGAGCTGCCCTTGAGAGAGCAGCTCTGAGAGAACTTGTGACTGACCCACGGTCACGCCAGCAGCTGCATGTGGAGGAGTGGGGAATCAAACCCGGTTCTCCCAGATTAGAGTCCGCGCTCCTAACCACTACATCAAACTGGCTCTCCTGAGGTTTCCCTGCCAACTTCTCAAGGTTGCCCAGGAGTAGACATGCTAGTTTTTTGCAGGTTCCTGGGTATGTAACCCACCGACTGTTACTCAATTAATCATATTCAATTTTGTACTTTTTCCCTATTTCATACATGAATGGAAGGACGGCTTAGGTTTTAGCTTGCTTGGAGACTTGGGGAGGGCAGCATGCCAGACACTTTTACAGCTTCTTGACTGTACTGAACCCTGACTTTCTTGCATCCTGACGCAAGAAAGCACATACATGCTGGCAAGCAGGAGAAAAATCAGACACGTGCAACGGTGGAGAACAGAGAACCACGGGCTTCGTTCGTTTGTTGCTTGCATAACACCTCCCTCAGCTGAAGCAGTCTACCTGGGGAATATCAATTTTTAATTTGAGCATTCCCCCTGGCAGCAGAAGAAGATTAGAGTTACATCCCACCCTGCTCTGCAAACAGACTAGGTGTCTCCTGGAGATCTCTCAGAATTACAACTGATCTCCAAACTGCAGAGATCAGTCCCCCTCTGGAGAAGACAGAAGGGACCCTAGAGGCCATCTAGTCCAGCCCCTTTAAAGGGTGGTCTCTGTGGTATTATACCCTGCTGAGGTCCCTCCTTTCCCCAAACTCCAACCTCCCTAGGCTCCACCCCCAAACCTCCAGGAATTTCCCAACCCGGAGCTGGCAACCCTAAGACAAAGCTATACCGTGAAAGCTTCCTTTACTGATCCCTGCAGACAGAGCAGATGCTAACGGCGCAAGAGCAGACTGAGGTGGTAAGATGGCAGCAGCCCCCACTGAAAACCTACGAGGGCGAATGAAGGCCAGAAGGGCGGATCTTCTCCCCCGCCACGCCGTGCCTGTGTTACAGGAGTCAGGTCGGAGGACACGCGGGGCCCCTCTCACAACACGCCCACTCGTGCCAGCCAGGAAGTCCCTGCGGACCGAGGTTTCCCCGCCAACTTCTCGAGGCTGCCCAGAGGGGAAGGAGAGCTTCACGCTCGGCTTCAGAAGGCCACACGCCTCACTGACAAACCACCAGCCGGGGTGGGCCTTCCTTTCGCCGTCACCGCACTGCACAAGACACGGGAAGGGGAGAGGCGATGCCAGCCTCCGGGTGGGGCCTGGGGACCTCCCGCTTTCACAGCTGATCCCCAGCGGACAGGGATCAGCTCCCCTGGAGAAAACGGCTGCTCTGAAGGGCGGACTCCAGGGCCTTGTGCCACGCTGAGGCCCCTCCCCTCCCCAAACCCCGCCCTCTCCCGGATCCACCCCCAAAGTCTCCAGGTATCTCCCAACCCAGAGCTGGCAACCCTAAAGGGGAGTGGGGATGTCAGACTCCAAGAGGGACCTGGAGAACCCCCTGGAAGCAAGCTCATCTCCTGCTTCCCCAGGAGAAAAACCGAGAGGGTGCAGAAGAGAGCGACGAGGATGATCAGGGGTCTGGCGACTGAGCCCTACGGGGAAAGGCGAAGAGCCCCGGGAATGTTTAGTCTGGAGAAGAGGAGACTGAGGGGGGACATGATCGCTCTCTTCAAATATCTGAAAGGCTGTCATTTGGCGGAGGGCAGGGAGCTGTTCCAGTTGGCAGCAGAGGAGAGGACCCGAAGCAACGGGTTTAAATTACATGCGGAAAGGTATCAGGAAACACTTTTCCACGGCCAGAGTGGTTCAAAGGTGGGATCAGCTGCCTAGGGAAGCGGAGAGCTCCCCTTCACTGACAGCTTTCAAGAAGAGGCTGGAAGGATATTTGTCAGAGATGCTCTAGGCTGGTCCTGCACTGGGCAGGGGGTCAGACTAGATGGTCTCTATAGCCCCTTCCGACTCGGTGATCCTATGAAAATGGGTGTTTTGTAGGGTGGACTGTATGGCACTGTACCCCACTGGGGTCCCGGTCCTTCCCAGGTTCCACCCCCAAGCTCTGCAGGAGTTTCCCAACCTGGATCTGGCAGCCAGAAAGGGGAGGGTCTCCCCCACACATCGTGCAGGGTTGCCAGCCCCCAGGCGGGACCTGGAAATCCCCCAGAATTACAACTGACCTTCGGACCAAAGAGATCAGTTCCGTTGGAGAAACTGGCGGCTCTGGACGGTGGACTCTGTGGCATTCTGCCTTGCGGAGGTTGCCCCTCTCCCCAAGTCTTGTCCTCCCCGGGCTCCCCCCTCCCCAAATATCCAGGACTTTCCCAGCTCAGTGTGGGGAACCCCCTTCGCACACCAGTCAATAACCGGGGACGGAGCTCCCAGGACTGCCGGGCCCCTGCTGCCCCCCGGCGGGGGGATGGGGGAGTAGGGCTCACAACCAGTGTTCCCCCTAAGCTGAGTTAGAGTGAGCCAGCTCACTGTTTTTTTA